CATGTAATGCGTCTATCTCATATATTGGTTTCACCCTTTGAGTTGTGGTACTGACATAAATGAACATTTGCACAATATTCTAATTTTTCGAGTTTCACCTGTATGTGAGAGGTAAAGGAAGGGAAAATAAACTGTCAAGTCAGTTCAGATAATGAGGTACAATGACTGCCATACACTTGGTCTATACTCGACATCACAGAAAATCTAAATAAGAGAACTTTGAATTGAAAATGTAGTCACAGATTATAAACTGAAGAAAATGCTGTGTTAGGATCATATCCTAATCAGAAATATACACCTTTCAGACCAATGAAGGCAAATCCAGAGAAGTGAAAGTATATTCCAGTGTACAACCATTGGGAGTCATACTGTACAGATATAATCATATTACATGAATGAGATCCAAGAGAAATCAAATCTGACTTGTAATTGTTGTTCCCAGAGTAAGCAGAACCCCAGAAATGTGATAGCAAAATTATGAATGGAGCCTGATAAGGTTAAAGGTATTGACCTTGAAGATGTGGAGACCACAGACATTGTTTGAAATACAACAGAAGGTGAAATAACCCCAGAGGGAGAGACTGACGGCACTGAAAGCTTCAGCAAAATAGATTATTCTGGCACAATCTGGGAGAGGCTCTCTTATGGTAGGTAAAAATAATGTTGGAATAATACTTCTATCTTAGTGGGTGTATTTCCATGGCCAGTTTCTGGTTACCAATACTCATAATGTAGCAGAAGCTATATTTTACTACATCTTCAAGTATGAAAGTAGAACTCCTTCCGGTCATTAGGTGCTTTACAGAAGTAATAAAAATGCTAATGCTTGACTGGAGAAGATAATAAAGCATAGTGGTAGAAGACTGAGTACTTCAACTGTGAAGTTTGCAGGACCCTGAAGGGTGTGATGCTTGTTCTTTTGGTACAAAAGAGGGAAAAGCTTCCCTCAATTACTACACAAATTTAAATTGTCCTTGAATGATGACTTTTCAGTTATATTTTAAAAAGTATCTGAGACCCAAGCATTAGAACATTTAGCTTTCCCACTCCCACAAGTTTCAGATACTGAGAAGTAAGACAACTAATCACTGTATTTCTGCTTTTTTGTAATTTAAAATTGAATACAGATAAGAATAAACCCTTGCTGGAATCTTCCCCCAGTCCTTCCTTCTTTTACTAAACTTTTTTCTCGTTCAACTAAAATCAAAAATGGTATCGCAAATTGCTATTTTAACAAACTGTTATTTGAAAAAGTTAGCAGCTTAATTTTGCTCATTTAAAATCATATGTAAATACTTACCCATATATTCTGGACACATTAAGCAAATCTCTCTAAGAAAAGCAGTAGCAGTCATGTCATATGTTCTTAACTTAAGTTCAGTGCCTAATTTTAAGATTTCCAACCGAAGAATTGGCTTTTCAGTGTCTTCTGCAAGACGACACACCTGAAGAAACACCTATTTTTTTAAAAAAATGGGATGGTTAACCAAATCTACAATAAGCTTGGGATGGACAGATATTTGCTATTTCATAGAATCATAGGGTTGGAAGGAACTTTGAAGGTCGTCTAGTCTACACTTTCCCTTGCAATAGTTAACCATTCATTTCTAAGAGAAATGAAAAGTTTAATTTATCTAATAAGCATATTGTTTTTGAATTTGGGGGAACAATACATTTTAAGCACATAAAAATGTAAGTGTAAAACAGAATATAAGCAATTAAGAGTTACTTGTATAGTGAGATGGGTGGCATATATAAATTTGAAAAATAAAATAAATAAATAATTTCACCAGAAGTTATGTTAATAGTTCAAATTTATTTGCGAAAAGTCTATGATTGCATTTCATTGGTTATTATCCCAGTCAAAAGAAAATCAAATCTATCTTTACCCTAAAGTAACACAATGTAATGGAATGTTTGTTTCAATCAAAAGAAAATAAATTTTCTTCCTACACTAGAGTCATGTGATACAAGTAAGTATGTGGTTGTCTCTGTCAAAATAAATTCCTTGCACATTCTCCCAAACTGACACCAATTCCTCCTGCCCACTGTAATGCCACTGCTACAATCATGGTTAATAAGCAATAAGCTAAGCCTTTGTCTCAGCAAATTTGACTGAATACTGGTTGCTCTGCTTTCTTTTTTCCTCTCTCCCATGCTGCATTCTTCATTCATATGTAACCTTGAATCATTTTCCTTAATAAATAAATGTATAATGTTTTTGACTCATTTGTTTAATTGGGTTATCTTTATCTAGTTTTCAGACTTCTGTGGAGATCCCATTTTAGGTCATATTTATACAGAAATCTGAAAATTCAAACAGGTTCACAAACTTTTAAGCACCACTGTATGCATTGTTTAATTATGTTTCTGGATTAAAAATTCAAATTTTGGGGTTTTTTAAGGCCTTAACTGCAAAAAGGGTTAAGTAATATAGTCCCAGCAGCTATGGAATATAAAACATCCATCTTGTCTGAGTAGCTTCTAATGAATATGTTTTACTGGTTATAGTGTTACTAGCCTCATCGGAGAAAGACGTTGGAAGTAAACAGATGCCATCATTTATATTCTATTAAAATTCAACTGAATAATAAAAGCTGGAAGGGCAACAATGAACAAACAAAACCTTGCATATGGTCAAATATAGATACACATACAGCTGCCCAGAGTAATTTGATTGCAGCAGGGTAGAAATAAGATAGAGAGATAGACAGACAGACAGACAGACAATCATTCTCCTCAATACTGCTCCAGCAGGCACAGAGAAAATTCCTAATGGTGTTGCTAGCAGAGTGACTGAAAGACAACTGAAAGGAAAGGCAAGAAACAGAATCATGCAGGGGGTAAGTCTTCTTGTCAAAAATTTACCTCCCATATCAAAAATTCACGTCTTGAGCTCTGTGCAGGTGATAATCCATTCATGTATTAAACAAAATCATGAAGAATACTGAGATACATGGCTATGGTCTGAGTCAGTGCAGGCAGTTTCCTATGCATGAAAGCTGTATAGCATTCATTTACTGATGAGTAATGTACAATAAAATTTGAAAAGAAAAATAAGAAAAATACAAAGCCATATGGTTGTATGTTTAAAATGATACCAGGATCTTTCTGATTCTTTTGTTCCTTTAGCCCCTTTGGTTTGGCCCACTGGAAGCCTATAATTTTGCATTCTGCTGCTGCTCTGCTTTCCTAATAATCCCTCCTTTCACAGCTGCTATTGACAACCCCACCCCAATATATCCTGAAGATCCCCTAGTCCTCAAGAGAGGCTTTTTGAGGGCAGATGGTAGAGAGCTATATAAACTCTGGGAAGCAAGGAAACACCAAATGACTTTGTTCCTATAATCCCAGGACTTGAGCCATAGTTTTTAAAGATAAATTTAGCAGAGTAGTCTGTTCAATCTAGTCATGTATGTTAAGGAGAGAACTACTGATGCCAATCAAATTATTTTCAGAAGTAAAGCAACTATACTAATGATGATAAAGAAGTCAATATACATTTAGTAAAGAAAACTTACATACATAAACAGTCTGACAGAAATACTCATAAACCTTTAACGGTAGAAAATAAAGCATTACCTCAGATATTTCAAATCTTAATTGGAAATCAGTCATATTTTTCAAAGGTTCTGGTTTTGCTGTCTTTTTTCGGAAGCTGCTACCTCTACTCAATGAACCCAAAGGTGCTTCAAAAAATGGTAAGTCTTCCAAAGGACTACTTGGAGCATCATAATATTCATCTTCAGATTCTAATAATAGTTCAAGGTAAAATGATGATTATTAAAACATGTTTACATTTTGACCTATTCATATTACATGGAAAAAAACCCAATAATTATATCTAACATAGGCAGACTTTACATTTATGGTATTCTATTTAGGTATTTGTTTTTATTATTTGGCTAGAGCCCCAAGATCTACCAGTCATACCCTAATACAAAAGGCATATGAAGTAATAATTCTGAGATGATTTTTGAATATTGGAATAAAACTGAAATTATAGTGCTTTTACATAAAAATCCAATCTTGCTTGTTCCAGCTCTTTTCATACCAAGTAGCACAATTTAAAGAAGGTGATTTTTGTTGCTATTGATAAACAAGTGGGAGTCATAAAATTTTGCTGATCTACTGCAAATCACCCAGGCATAGAGATTTATTTTCTGCTCATCTCTGGTCTACATAAATAGTATACGTTGGCCCTAGAGAAAAAAACCTGCATGAAATAATTATATGATATAATGAAATTTTGGTTCATAGATACATACTTCCCATTAAACTATTCCCTTTTGTGGTAACCAGTGTTATACAAAGTGCAAAAAAAAAGTAGCAATAAGCAAAATAAATTGAAGTCAAGATAAGGGAAACAAAATTCTAACTAGATCTAGTTTGCACCAACACCAATCATTATACCTTTGTACCTTTATGTCTTTGCTTTGTACATTGATTTATATATTGCCTTTTGGTTATGAAACTTCTCACCGCTCTCTTTTTCATCAGCTCCATCCAACTATAACCTTCTTAGACTTCTCTTTCCTCTCAACCCATTCATTCTTCTTTCATATCTTGTTTTTCAATTTGTTCCTCATTCATTCTTTCTACATGAACAAACCATCTCAACATACTTCTTATATTGATCACTATTTTTTTAAATTTTCATTCTGCATCCATTCATTCTTGACCTTACCTCTTCTTGTTTTAACACACACTTCTTAAGTACCGCTTTCCACTGCATTCGGCTTACTTTTATGATTGATTTGCCATAGCCAATTCTGACTTCCATATAACAAAGCAAAGAAAAACATGCTCTTATACACAGGTGTTTTCCATTCTTCTAATAAGCATTAATTCCTTGCAACAGATCATGTTACCCGCTATCTTTTTACTAACGTTTGCAAAATAATTTTTGAGTGAACATTACCAGATTAAATAAAAATAAAGTGAACATTTACCACTTGATCCAGCTATTGAAAGAGGTTCTAAAAATGGAAGTATAGAGGTCGACATCTGAGGTGTTGTTATCAGAGAAGATGCTTGAAGCTGCAATATAAAAGCAACATATAATCTTCTAATTCAGAAATATATGACTCTCTTGGCTAATATAAATATTTACCTTATCTTATCTGGCTGTTCAAGGCCAGTAAACTATAACAACAACAACAACAATGGTAACTTCCAAAATATCAACATAGAACAGTTAATTAGAATGAAGTAAGACTTAAAAATGTCCTCTTTTTAAGAAAGCATGTGATGCTAACATTAAAGCCAGCCATAGATTAAATACAATGAAACAAAACAACATAGGAGTTGCTATTTATCAGAAATTTAATTAAGAAGGAGCAAGAAGAATCTGAGGGGCAGTGTTATTTTTCCACAGCTTAAAAACAATTACTTAAGTATTTCTTCTACCTGGTTTCATACATAAGGATAGATGGAAGTGCCTCAGTTATACCAGTGAGTAAGCAGATTTGTACAGAAGGTAGTCCTTCAGCTTCTCCAAATCTTAGATGATAAAGGCTTTAAAGAACTTGGCCAGCTCTTTGAACTGAGCTCAAAAACAAACCAGAACCCAGCACCGTTTCTCAATGCAGAAATTACATGCTCCCATAGGTGACTTACACTGGATTATGTACCAGAAGAATTTTTGAACGTTTTACAAAATTAGCCATATAGTGAATAAAGGTAGTCCTTAGGTTACAAAGGAAATTGAGACCAGAATTTCCATCACTAAGTGATGTGGTCATTAAGTGTGATGTCACATGACTGCATCACTTAGCAACGGCAATCCAGGCAGTCCTGGTTGCCATCGTTAACCAAATCCCACTGTCAGGCCTAGCCCAAGGAACTCCAAGAGACAATGCCAATTCAGTCCAGCTATGT